CATCGCACAGCGGCCCCGAACATAACATTGCATAGCATGGCGTTGAAGATCAAAGCGTAGCATGGCATAGCACGACGTGGCACTTAAGCACTGCATATCACAGCTTCAGCCGAAGGCATGACATCGCGCAGCGGAACGCAACCTAGCATTGCATTGCATGCCGTGGCATGGCACGGGAAATGACGCCAGCGCCGTAGCGGGAGCACGATTCGGAACGAGCGGAAGCGCGGGAATGAGGCCAGCGCTGCAGCGGAAGCACGATTCGGAACGAGCGGAAGCACGGAAATGAGGCCAGCGCTGCAGCGGGAGCACGATTCGGAACAAGCGGGGCCCGAAAATGATGCCGGCGCCTCAGCGAGAGCAGCATTTGGAAAAAAAAAAAAAAAAAAAAAAAAAAAAAAAAAAATGCAAGCGAAAACCCAACTCCGGGGAAACCTGTGTAAAAAACAATCCGCGGGGGGGGTCGGACACTCCCAGGCCGTCATCAGGGGAAGAAGGAGAGTAGTATTCATATTGAGTAATTGTGGAGGGGGAGGGGGAGGGGGAGGGGAAGGGAGGAGGAGGAAGAGGAGGTTTTTGCTGCTAGGACTAACCTGGCGCTTCGTGCCGCAGCTAGCCGTCTGAAAGGAGGGGCTATAGAGGGGCACACTGAGGGAGGTGCCTCGCCTTAGTCCGCACAATCTCCAGCCAGCGGAGAGCTGGCCTAGAGAGCTCGCTCCCAGAAGGCATCGTATTCCCACGGCAAGAGGGAACGCGACGCTTCCCCAAGAGCGAGCTTCACGCTATAAGGATTCCTCGCGTGGGACAGGAGCGAGAGGCGGTACGCAGCCGTGGGATTCGCGGGCGCCCCACGGCAAGCCTCGACCAACCTGCACCACCTCTCGCTCGAGAAAACCCCGGACCTCGCACAAAACGTATAGTGGCCCGCCACATGGAGCTCGTGGCCCAGGGCTTGTCCGCGAAAGGCGGCAGGAATATCCAGCCCTCCCTCCACCACACTCGCGACGAAACGACGGAAGAAGAGGAGGAGGAGGAGGAGGAGGAGGAGGAGGAGGGGGCCTTTGGCCGAGCGCACACTCAGACCAGGCCGCCGGGGCCCTCCGGGCAGATGGCGGCACGCGCCTGGCCGGAGCCACGCGCGGAGGCGCCTGGCGCCCACGGCCACACGGCGAGAGCACCAAAGGAGAGACTGGCACCGTCAGCGGGTGCCCCAGATTTCTCAAAAGCTAGAAGAAGAAGAAGAAGGAGAAGACTGGCACGCGTCCTGCCGGATGCTTGGCTTCCTTGATGATGATGACGATGATAAGAAGAAAAATTAGAAAAAAGAAGAAGAAGAAGAAACGCCATAAACTGAGGAGCCAAAGTCTATACACCGACGTTTTTTCCGGCCCCGCAGTGACATTCGCACAGGAAAGCGGATCCTGGTGTATGCGGGATCCTGCTGCACACATTGTGCGCTGCTTCCCCGGGGTAAGCGGGGAGACAAGTACACACCACACCACCCCGACGTCGTCCCCGACCCTCAAAAATACTGGGAGTGAGAAACAGCCCGCCACTGGTAATGTACACGTTCCAGTTTCCGACAAAGTAGAGACTGGCACCGTCAACGGGTGCCCCAGATTTCTCAGAGCTACCAGAAGAAGAAGAAGAAGAAGAAGAAGAACCGCCATAAGCATAAACGTGCTGGCGCTCCGCGCGGACTTCTAGGATCTGCGCCGGGCCCCGCTCCCTGGCGCGTGGAGCGCGCCAGGGGCGGCGCCGGAGGCGCCGCCGGGGGGGCCCAGCGCGGATCCAAGAAGTCCGCGCGGAGCGCCAAAGGTGTATGTTTACGGCGCTCCTCCTGCTGCGAACAGGAGCGCTCCTGATCGTGCGCGTGCGTGCCTGCTGCACGGGGGGGCCGAGAACTGGAGCGGCAGCCGGCCACGCGTAATTATCATGTGCACCCAGCCCTCGCCTGGGTCGGCCGCCTCGGTGCGCGAGCACGCTCGGCCTCCCCCGCGTGCGCCCCTGTCCCTCTCCCGCATGAACATAATTGTTAAACTGTTGGCATGAGCATAAACTGTTAAAGTGTTGGAGATCCGCGCGAATTTCTTGGACCTGGGCTAGAAACCCCCTCCCCTCCCTGGCGCGCGGAGCGCGCCAGGGGCGGCGCCAGGGGGCCCGAGCGCGGATCCAAGAACTCCGCGCGAGAAGCGCCAAAAGTTGATGTGCATGCCGTTTCTCTAGGTTCGGCCCCGCCTCCTCTTCGTCCTCCCCTGCGCCCCCCGACGGGCCGACGGGGCGGCGCGAGAGCGCGAATGCATTCGCGCTCTCGCGCGGCGCGATGCGCGCATTCAGCAGCCCTTGCTTCCGGCTTCGAGAACCGCGGAGCGCGGCGCGCGACGCACTCCGCGCCCTCGTCGAGGGGTGCCCTCGGCGGGGCGGCCGCGCGCGGTGGGTGGCCCCTCCCGCGCGCGGGCAGCGCGCGCGCGAGGCGCCCCCTCGCGCGCGCGCGGGCAGCGTGCGCGCGGGAGGCGCCCCCCGCGCAGAACGGCCCCCGGTGGGCCGCACGCCGCCGTTCGGCCCGCAGCAGTAGGAGGCGCGACAAGGAGGGGCCGTGTCGACGCCGACGAGAAGGGGCCATGTCGACGCCGATGCCGGAACTGCTCGAGCGGCGCGCGGCCGACGAGAGCGGCCAGGGAGGGGCCGAGGAGGCAAGGGTGCAGGGGTACCCGTGGGGACGATGCCCCCCCTTCTCAGGCGGGCTGGCTGCAGGGTGGAGTACGATCCATGTTTCAGCGAATGCCCCCGATGCTCACAAGGTGGGGACAATGCCCAGACATGCGACGTTGTGATTTTTTCAGGACGGCTTCCCTGGAAGTCCCAGGGACCCGTTTTTCGTCCTGAGTCGTTTTTCGACGGGCCCGAGGCGCGGCGAGGGCCCCCCGGGGCGGAAAATAGCCACAAACTTCCCGTCCTGATTTTTTTACGATGCGATCATGCCTGGGTGCAGTTCGGGGTCCCGGAGGGGTACGAACCTGCCGCCGGCAGGTCGCATGTACGGATGTGCGGCTGCACGCTGTATACGGGGGTGCACGGTGTGCGGAGGGGCACTGGCCGCGATCACGCCCGTGACCGGCCGCGCCCCCTCTCCACCTCCCAATACCCGCCCCTGGTCACGCCCCGATTCGCGAGGGCGCCGTCTGGGAGTGAGCCCTTCCTGGGCAGCCACAGAGGGCACCGGCGCCGTGCTCAGCCCCCTCCCCCCATTCCCCCCTCCGGCCCCTGGTCAGGCCCGTTATTATCGCCAGGGGGTACAGACCGGTCTCCCAGGGGTCCACGGATCTGGCGCGCGGGCTTAGAGGCCTCCTAGCTGGGGTCCGAGTAGATGGGGTCGAAGGATTGAGCGTCGGTGACACCGACGATGCATTGGCGACGTCGGCGTGGGAAACACGGTCTCCACATCGAGCCGCATCGTCGATGCATCGGCGATGCATCGGCGATGCGGCGCGATCCTCCGACCCCAGCTGCTCGGACCCCATCTAGGAGGCCTAGAGGGCTCCAAATCCACAGACCCAGACCCCCGACGTCATGAATTTTTCATGACGTCGACCCCCAGCGTTCTGGACCCTTTCCCCGGGACCGGTTCTTCGTCCTGAGTCGTTTTTTGACGGTCCCGAGGGCCGGTAAGGGCTCCCAAAGGCCAAAAATAATGAAAAACCTCCCGTCGTGATTTTTTCATAACTTGAGGGGGTCTGGGGATCGGGGAAGGCCCCCCGGCAGCTCACGCCAGCACCGCCTCGTGCTTCGACGGAGCGGCGCCGACGTCGCACAGTATAGAAGGGCCCCGTCGCTGCTCCGCGCGCCTGCCACGCTTACGCTTCCTCGAACCAGGTGTCTGGGTCGCTCGGCCGGGAGGCTTCCCCCTCGAGCGGTGCGAGAACGAGGGTCACGACGAGGACGAGGAGGAGGAGGAGGAGGAGGAGGAGGAGGAGGAGGAGGAGGAGCAGGGGGGAGGGAGGGAAGGGGGTGGCAAACAGAACATCGACGGCACGCCGCCGGGGGGGAGGCCATCAGCGTGCCACTGCTCAGCAAACAGGCACCAGGCCTTCGGACGGAACACAAAGGAACAGCACGCCGGCGAGTTCCCGACAGCGGCGCGTCGTCGGTACACTCGGACTTCATTGGAGAGGACACGCGAGAGGACACAAAACCCTTTCGAGGGCCACATTGCCACAGGAATGCAGGAAGAATGGATCGCGAGACACAAGACACAAGGGTACCCTTGAGCTGGCAGGGTCGACCTACTAATCCAGGCCGACTATAATGCCTCTCCCGCCCGACATGGGCATCCTTCGCCGAAGCCAGCTAAGGGACTGTATCGGAGGAGCGTGGCAGTCGCGCAGTATCTGACATCCGACCCCTCCCAGCCATCCCTTCCCATTGCGCTGGATTCGGTGCCTTGTGCCGACTGGCAGACTGGCCTGTCCTCGAGAACCGCGATCCCCACAAAGGCACCATCGTGTGACGCGCAATCGGAAAAAGGGGGACCCTGTACGTTGTAGAAGGGGAAGCAAGTGGCAGATAAGCAGGAGAATGGGCGGGGGAAGGGCAGGATGATGCGGGAGAAAAGCACAAGGAGCAACAGGAGCAGGAAGACAAAGGGAATACTGAGCAGGAGAAAGGACGGGGACGGCACCGACGAAGGAGGATGAGGAGGAGGAAGATGAGGAGGAAGGACGAGCATCCAAACATTTGGGCACGCGCTGGGGTCAGAGCGCGAACCTGAACGACAGGAGAGTATCATCGGAGAGAGTAGAACACTACTCATATTGGGTAGCTGCTGGGAGGTGAAAGCAAGGGAGGATGAGGACGAAGAGGAAGAGGCACATCGAGGAAGAGGACAAAGACGGAGGAACAGAAGGAGGAGGAGGAGGAGGAGGAGACGAGTGAGGAGGAGGACGAGGCACGAGGGTGGGAGGAGGAGTGGACCGGCGAGATGGGGAGAGCACCAAACCCTCCCTGCGCGGGACGGCGTCCGCCAGAGGCCCTCTCTGGCAGGCAGGGGCCCGTGGAGAGGAAGATCGCGAACCAGCTGCCGAAGGTGGCGCAGATCTCGCCGCCCAAACAGGCCGAAGGGCCAAATCGTCGTCGGCGGCGGCACCGGCGTCGGCGTCGTCATTGCCGTCGCCGTCGTCGCACTGCAGTCGTCGTCGTCGTCGTCGCCGTCCTCATCGCCGTCGTCGCCTGAAAGCGACGGGACAAGGGGGGAGGAGGCGGAGGAGTGTTTTAGACTACCTATACGACCACCCTGCGGGCGATAAGGAGGTTTGGGGGGGGCCAGCAATGGGCAACAGTGGTGACTGTTGTTCTGACGATACCTGTAGTGCGCAGTCTAGTGGGTAGTGTGGTTGTGATGGTGAGCGTGACGTGGCGTGGCGATGTTTACGAAGCACACTCGACATTGTCGTGAAGCGCTGCCCCCGCGTGCGCTTATCACTCGCGCGAACCTCACCTCAGCGCTAGTCGACGTGGTCGAACATGCGCGCTGCGGTGCCACCCTGACTGCTGCTGGCGCCACCCGATGCTGCCGTGGTTGCAGTTCTTGCGCTCGAGGCACTCGCAAAGCTTGGTGTCAGCGGCGCCTGCGTGTTGGTGGCAGCATCTCCTGGCGGCGCTGGGGTTTCCACGTCAACACCTGACGCACTGGCAAAGCCTGGCCCTGGGACAGCGCGGCGCGGCCAGGGCATGTTTGAGCATGCCGGCGGCACCGGCCATCGGGGCGGCACCAGCCGAAGGTTCAAACAGACTCCGATGGCGGAACCGCGATTGGTGTGCCGGTGTTGCTTGGGGAAGTGGCTGCGGTCCGACAGCGACCACGGCGGCACAGCATACAGCACGGCATGACGATATGCTTTTCGATTTGCATTTGGATTTGCATATCGATGTGCATGTCGATTTGCTGTTCGATCTGCATCTCGACTTGCATGTCGACCTATCGATGTGCATGTCGATTCGCTTTTCGATCTGCATCTCGATTTGCATCTCGACTTGCATTGGGAAGCTCGCCGCAGGCGCCGATTTTGTTTTTTTATGCGCAACCCACGGCGCCTTACGATTTGCATTTGGATACGCATGTCGATTTGCATTTCGATGTGCTTTTCGGTTTGCTGCATGTCGCTTTGCATGTAGACTTGCATTGGATAGCTCGCCGCAGCCACGGCGGGACACCAGCGGGACACTAGCGGGACACCGCGGGGCCACTGTTTGCTGGGTGGGGAGTCTCGAGAGGCTTTTGGTCCGGCCGCGGCCCAGCCACAGGAGGATTTCGGGACACCAGCGGGACACCAGCGGGACACCGCGGGCCACCGTTTGCCGGTGGAGCGAGTTTTGGTCCGGCCGCGGCCCAGCCACAGGAGGATTTCGGGACACCAGCGGGACACCAGCGGGACACCGCGGGCCACCGTTTGCCGATGGAGGGACTTCGGTCTGGCCGCGGCCCAACCACAGGAGAATTTCCTCTCGCCCGCCCACGCAGCTTCGCCTCGCCCGCACGCACGCACGCACAGCACGCACGACACGAACCCGAAACCGAAATCGATGTCCCGGTAGGGGGGGTTCCGTTTCACGTCGGACTCACCCCCCAACCTCCGATATACACACATCGATCGATACATATAGATAGACCGACCTGCCGGCCTCCCTATCGATATAATATATTTATATATATACATGTATATGTATATCGGTACACACCTATATATATATATATATATATATATATACCGACATTATATATACATATAGATACATATGTGTACCGATGAATACATACATGCATGTATGAATGTATATATGCACGCCGCTGGATATACCAATACCTAAGTTAGGTGTGCATATACATGTTCCAACATATCGATAAACAAATATGTACATACATATACGTGTATGTGTGTGACGATATATATATATATATACACACTCACATGTGTACATCGACATGGATGCATGGGTAAATCCACATATACACATATGTACCGATATATATATATATATACTTACGCAGGACGAAAGATTTTCCTCTTGAGGTGAAAATGGCCATGAGGAGTTCGCGAGACAACGTCGGCGCCGCCGAAACGACGGCGACCACACGAGCTGTTTGCAGCATCCGGGGTGGGAGGGATGTATGTATTCATGTTGAATGGGGCCCGCTCGCGCTGAGAGTTGATGAGAGTGCGCAAGACGACGCAGCGCCCATCGTGGAAAGTTGATTACCGAACCCCCCATCCCCCGTAGAATCATAACACGGGCGGTTTGCGGGGTCCGCGGATCCGATTTCTTCCGGCTCCCTGTTTAAATTTAATCATATAAATTTAAAACAGTGTAGAAATCGGATCCGCCGTGAAAAATAAGACCGAACACGGATCCAGCAAATCCGGAATCGGATCCGCGCGGACGGAAATCAGATCCACTGAAACACAAACCAAAACCAAATTGGACCCGGGCGAACTTCAATGGATCCGACGGCGGGTATCTCACACGCGTCTGCTTAAGACTTCAAACCTTCGCTCCGGGCCCGAGAGGAAAAAACTTTCGTCCTGGGGATGAGCGTTTTGGCAAAACGCACTGAGCGTTTTGGCATTCGGACATGTTGGTTGCCATGTTGCCCACGCACCGCACCTCACCACAAGTCCCCCGCAACGTGCAGCCAGGAGCTCCTGCTCGAGACGTCCTCGCAACACCCGGAAGAAGAACCCCGCGCCCGTTGGGTCAGGAGACGCAGGGCCGAAACGCAGCGTTTGGCCTTCAGACATGTTGGTTGCCACGTTGTCCACGCACCACACCTCACCACAAATCCCCCGCAACGTACAATCAGGAGTTCCTGCTCGAGACGTCCTCGCAACACCAGGAAGAAGAACCCCGCGCCAACGGGCCAGGAGACGCAGGGCCGAAACGCATGAGCGTTTTGGCAAAACGCACTGAGCGTTTTGGCCTTCGGACATGTTGGTTGCCATGTTGCCCACGCACCACACCTCACCACAAGTCCCCCGCAACGTGCAGCCAGAAGCTCCTGCTCGAGACGTCCTCGCAACACCCGGAAGAAGAACCCCGCGCCAACGGGCCAGGAGACGCAGGGCCGAAACGCAGCGTTTTGGCATTCGGACATGTTGGTTGCCACGTTGTTCACGCACCACACCTCACCACAAGTCCCCCGCAACGTACAATCAGGAGTTCCTGCTCGAGACGTCCTCGCAACACCCGGAAAAAGAACCCCGCGCCCGTTGGGCCAGGAGACGCAGGGCCGAAACGCACTTATGCAGGACGAAAGATTTTCTCTCTGAGGTGAAAATGGCCACGAGGAGTTCGCGAGACAACGTCGGCGCCGCCGAACGGACGGCGACCAGACGAGCTGTTTGCAGCATCCAGGGTGGGAGGGATGTATGTATTCATGTTGAATGGGGCCCGCTCGCGCTGAGAGTTGATGAGAGTGCGCAAGACGACGCAGCGCCCATCGTGGAAAGTTGATTACCGAACCCCCCATCCCCCGTAGAATCTTAACACGGGCGGTTTGCGGGGTCCGCGGATCCGATTTCTTCCGGCTCCCGGTGTAAATTTAATAAAATAAATTTAAAACAGGGTAGAAATCGGATCCGCCATGAAAAATAAGACCGAACACGGATCCAGCAAATCCGGGATCGGATCCGCGCGGACAGAAATCAGATCCACTGAAACACAAACCAAAACCAAATTGGACCCGGGCGAACTTCGTTGGATCCGACGGCGGGTATCTCACACGCGTCTGCTTAAGATTTCAAACCTTCGCTCCGGGCCCAAGAGGAAAACACCTTCGTCCTGGGGATGAATATATATATATATATATATATGTATGCATACACATAAATATACACATATATAAATAGATGCTGATGATTCGACTGTTATCTGAAATTACACCTACACACGTGCCTGGATACATCCGTATGGATATCGTTAACGGTTACGCAGATCGAGCTCTATACATACATCAATACTTACATACATACATACATACATACATACATACATACATACATACAGACAGACAGACATACCTACATAGAGACAGACAGACATACATACATGCATGGAGCTAATCATCCACACCTGTATATGTATGTACGTTGATCTGCCGATGTACATAAATATAGAGTGGGCCGTATGTGTACACATACATCTATATATATATATATATATATATGTATATATACCCGTATGAGGATGTCTGCATGTGTCTTACCTCTGGGGCCTTCGGAAGCGGAGGAAATGAAACCGGACTGGCACGAACGGGAAGCGCCGATTGTATCGATCGGGCTCGTATGGGAAAAACAGAAGGATGCTGGCGACGACACGGTGGCAGATGATGAGGATGACAGCGCGGTTCACGGGAAAGTCGACGAGGGGAGCAGGAGGACGACGAGTAGGAAAACAAGCACAAGGACGAGGAGGAAAAAATGTAGCAGGATGAGCACGAGGAGGAACGAAACGGTGGACATCGAGATCGACAGCTGCAAGGGCAATCGAGGTCTCTTGGGCCTCTCTGGGGCTCTTGATGCCGTCTTGCGCTATCTTAAACAAAATTTATTGGGAAGCCTTTCGAGGTCCTCTTGGAGGCGTCCGGGGTCTTCTTGGGCTGCCTGGGCTTGTCCTGGAAACTCTCGGGCCCTCGGGGCTCTCTGAGGCCGTCTTGGCGCCATCATGGACTGTCTTGAAGCTCTCTTGGGCCTTCTGGGGGCCTTCTGGAGCGCTCTGGGGGCCCTTCGGGGCCCTCCTGAGGTCCTCCAGGGAGCATTTGGGGGCTCTTGCGGGCCACCGTGGGCCCCTCCAAGAAACGATTTCAAGACGATGCCCACTCGGAGCCTCCGAAATAAGTTCTGCTAGGCGGTCCTGAACAAAGCGGCCATGGTCGAGAAACCCGACAAAACAAGAACTGGACGCGCCGCTTCTGTGCACGAATATTGTCAGAGAGCGTCCTGTTGAGGACGTCACAAGAACTCACGACAAAGAAAACAGGTTGCGGTTCAATCTATTGGTCTGCCGTGTTCCAGGTGGTCTGCCATGCTCCTGTGGTCTACCAT